GACGAGAGCCTGATTCCACCGCGCTGCCTCACAATTGTGTCGATGTAGGTGTAAAAATACCAACATTCAAAAAGAGCAAACTCTTCATTACCACACACACCACCAACGTGAAGAAAACATGCAGCACATTGACACAGAGTTCATCACCACACACACCACCGACGTGAAGAAAACATGCAGCACATTGACACAGAGTTCATCACCACACACACCACCGACGTGAAGAAAACATGCAGCACATTGACACAGAGTTCATCACCACACACACCACCGACGTGAAGAAAACATTCATCAAATTGACACAGAGTTCATCACCACACACACCACCGACGTGAAGAAAACATGCAGCACATTGACACAGAGTTCATCACCACACACACCACCGACGTGAAGAAAACATTCATCAAATTGACACAGAGTTCATCACCACACACACCACCGACGTGAAGAAAACATGCAGCACATTGACACAGAGTTCATCACCACACACACCACCAACGTGAAGAAAACATTCATCAAATTGACACAGAGTTCATCACCACACACACCACCAACGTGAAGAAAACATGCAGCACATTGACACAGAGTTCATCACCACACACACCACCAACGTGAAGAAAACATGCAGCACATTGACACAGAGTTCATCACCACACACACCACCAACGTGAAGAAAACATTCATCAAATTGACACAGAGTTCATCACCACACACACCACCAACGTGAAGAAAACATTCATCAAATTGACACAGAGTTCATCACCACACACACCACCGACGTGAAGAAAACATGCAGCACATTGACACAGAGTTCATCACCAGCAAAAGGTGTCACAAGCGGTGGAATCGGCGTTCCTCAATTTTGGGGCATGTTGAGTTATTGGTATCGTCTTTAAGATTGTTCGTTTTATCTCGAACCCACGATCTTACGGTTGCAAGTATGAGAGCCTAACCACTAGGCCACCGATTCTACTAGGTCTTGTACATTTTTGAAGTCTAACAACCTAGACACTGAACTTTACCTCGTTGTTTGTACAAGTATCCTGGAGTTGCTGTAAATCAAATATAAAAAAACTTTTAACCCAGTACGATCCCATTCTATTGCTGAGTTTATATTCAATGTTTTGCAGTAAGATGATTCATCGCTTTTTAAGCAGGGCTTTTATCCCCCCCCCCCCCCCCCCCCCGAAAAAAACCACACAAAAAACAACAACCAAAGATCAAATACAAACACAAAAGAGCAACAACAACAAAAAAACAGCAATAAAACAAAACGACGTTGAACAAAAAACAACAACAACACAACAACTATGAGAAACCGTCTAAACCATAAACTAGTAGAAGGTGTAAAGTTATATACTATAGATTTTATATGCACACAGAGAGAATCTAAAAGAAATGTTCAGCAAAAGTGTAGACGTGTAAGGCAAAGAATGTGAATAGAAAAAACAGGAATATTATTTCTGAAATAGTTTGTGTAACGCAGGACAAACGAATGTGCAACTTGCAGGGCTCCGACAAAGTCAGATTTTAGCATTCTGCCAAGGAGTTGTTCACCATTGTGTTTTGTTTAATCGTATCCGTACGTCGTGTTTTACTATCGTATTCATACGACATGGGGAACTCTGTGCCACCACTTTCCAAAGAGGAAATTTACTCGTTAATCCGATCCGTACGCTTTGCACAGCAGTCCGTCAAAATGATTTTTTGAGAAATACTGAAAGTTTCAAAGAGATCTTCGCACTAGAAGTATTTTAAAATGTGAAGGACGGTTGTGAGAATCTGTTAACGATATGAGCAGGGACACTGTTCTCCAATAAGACAACACCACTCTTTACAACGGGAATCAAATTAGAGACTTGATCCAACGGCAGGATCGGGAATACCTGGATACCTGGATACCCGGATACCTGTAGCTGTCATCTCTGACTCATAGGTCCACGTGTAATGACCCTCCATCTTTCACTGTCGCCAGCTGCCGTTGCACATTCTGTCATATCCAGGACAATCCATATTCTTATGTTGTCCATCCATGTTATTCTTTGCCTTCCTCTAGCTCTCCCGCCCCACATCTTTCCTTCAAGCCCCTCTTTCACAATGGTCTCGTGTCGTTTTAAGTGGCCATGGTATTGTATTTTTCTACATTTGATTTTGTCAAGCAAGGTTTGTCTTGAGTGTAGAATCTGACAAATCTCTTTGTTGGTCTTTTTTGTTACATACGCACGACATAAAAACAACTCAACAAAAGCCACATTTTATCAAACAAACGTTTATTGCTTCTGGTTTTGATTCTTTTTTATAAACCAGTGTGCTATATCTACTCTTTGTTATATTAAGTACCTCGTGTAAGTACAAGGTCTTGATGAAAACGACATGAGAAATTTTAGGCCAGTTTCCAATCTGAACTTTTTATCAAAAATCCTGGAGAAAATCGTTTTGTGTCAAGTTCAACAACATCTAAAGACCAATGACATGGAAGAACCTTTTCAATCTGCTTATAAAAGGCACCACAGTACGGAAACCGCTCTTTTAAAGGTATCATCAGATGTTTTAAATGAAATCGATAATAAAAAAGTTTGTGTTTTGGTTCTGCTTGATTTGTCAGCGGCGTTCGATACCATCGACCACGAAATTTTACTAGAGAGATTGGAAAAGTCATGTTTACTATCAGGTACTGTTCTAGTGTGGTTTAAATCATATCTAGACAATAGATTTATGTCAGTGAAAATTGGCAATGATGTGTCAGATAGGTTACCTCTAAAATACGGAGTTCCTCAGGGTTCGGTCCTTGGTCCTGTCATCTTTACAATGTACACGCAAAGTCTGTCATCAATAATTTCTTTATTTGCCCTCAATTACCATCTTTATGCAGACGATACACAGCTGTATGGATTCACTACAACTGACAATGTACACAATCTCATAGATAGAATCGCCAGATGTATCAATGATATAAGAAAATGGGTGTTCAAGAACAAATTAAAATTAAATGAGGATAAGACCGAAATATTATTTCTTCGTGGCAGCGCATGAAATGAAATCGACAATATCAGAATAAACATCAATGGCCACGAAATATCAGCCCAAACTAAAATAAGAAATTTAGGTGTGGTGCTAGATCAAGATATGTCAATGAAATACCATGTATCCAATCTTTGTAAAAATCTATATCTCCAGCTGAAGAAAATAGGGAGCATTAGAAAATATCTATCTGTTGGTGTCACCAAAACTTTAATAACATCACTTATATTGTCAAGGATTGATTATTGCAATTCCTTACTGGCTGGTGTACCTGATGAACAGTTACAACAACTACAAAGAGTACAAAATATTGCTGCCAAAATAATTACTAAAAAACTAAAGCATGATCATGTGACTCCTATTTTAAAAGCATTACACTGGCTCCCAGTGAAAGAGTGTATCATATATAAAATCTGTTTAACTTGCTACAAGTGCTTAAATGATTTATCACCGGACTATCTAAAACAGCTTTTAACACCCTATGTGCCTCCTAGAACGCTCAGATCATCAAGTGACAAAACAACCCTTGTTAAGCCTAAAATAAATGTCAAATCATATGGCCAAAGCTCTTTTTCATATTTTGCCCCACTTGTTTGGAATAGGCTTCCAAAAACTATCAGAGAAGCAGAAAATCTAGAAATTTTTAAGAAGAAACTAAAATCATTTCTATTTTCATCATATTTCGATTAGACAGAATGCATCCAAGCTGTAGATCGTTGTGAGTTTGTATGTGCGTATGTGCATATGTATGTATGTGTGTATGTGAGTATGTATATGTGTGTGGTGCGTGCGTGCGTGAGTGAATATGTGTTTGCATGAGTATGTAACACTATGTACCTTTAAAATTGATTTGTAAATCCATTATATGTATCATGTTAAGCGCATAGAGCATTGCATAAGTGGATATGCGCTATATAAATGCAATCCATTATTTTTCATTATTATTATTATTATTAAGTGAAGCCAATTTAGCGAGAAAAAACAAGGAGGAAAAAATAAATGATAAATATGATACAGATGTGCACTAAGCCCCAAAATGATAACAACACAGCAAGTAGTACATCTCGTTCATTGACTTTGAAGGAAAGCTCCGGTTCTTAACAATGTGGGGGGGTTGGTAAAGGGACCTTTTATTATTTTCTGTGAAGGAAATTAATATGAAATCAGTATGGGTCCCTTCAGCCGTGGGCAAAGAATAAACACTTTTTGGCTGCCTTGCTTTAGGCTGCCGTCTTCCAAAAATATCTGATAATCTGAAACTATTCTTATGAAATATCTGACGTGTCAACATCAAAGAATGAACTGGGTTGTCGGAAAGAGAACTCTTCGACTGGACATCTGCTGCCTGCCTGCTATGTGACACACCTCAGAGACAGTGGAACATTATCTGTTCTTCAGTAGAAAACTAACTGATTTAAGGGGATGTTTTCTTCCCAAGCTACCCCACTCATCTAATTGCCTCTACTCCTCAAGACAACAATTAGAACAGACATGCAGCTATTACAGAATGGCATCATGCAAAAGAGATAACGCTCAGATGCTACTGGATCGCTAACAACAACAACAACATCAGGCTCAGGGACGCAGAAAATCATCTCGACAGCTTCGCTGCCCTCAGGACCTTCAGACGACGCAAGTCAAGGTACGAGTGATTCCCATCAGCCCCAGTTTTGACAAACAAGGTCAAAGCAGCCTGCTTCCTAAACTACTTCAATCGTGCCAATGGGACATAAATAATTTATTATCATTTTTGTGTCTGGGGCAATGTTGGTTTGGTTTCTTTTCAAGGTTTCGTTTTTATTTTCTTAAAAACTAATGTCATAATTATTCTTTTTGTTTTCAAAGTTGTTAGGATTTGATCATACTGTATTTTCAAATAATCAGTTAGGCAGGTTCAAAGGCTGTTCAAAACACATAGTTGGTTTGTATATTATAATAATATACGTTTTCAAAAAGTAGCAGCTCTTTGTGTTCTAATATTAGCCCTCTGTGCCTCGGAGGAACATTTTGTCCAGGATCTGCTTGTACTTTGAACTCATGTTGTAATACACAAAGATATTCACTGCGGAATTCGCTGCCGATAAGAAAGAAAACAATGACCAGATCAGCACAAACAGGTCTCTGTATTTCCCTGTTATGTTAAATTCGGGTTCTAAACTTTGTGCAACATTTATAATCGCACCTGTCAAGAGGCATACTATGAATATGATCGCAATACATAGAACCAACTTCACAACTTTCTTGTCTCTATTTGAAAAGGAGTCATGATCTCCAGAACTGGAAGTAGACTTCCGCCATTTTGATTTGGTAATAAGGGTTTTGACAAGGAGTATAGTGCAAATGATGACCACGCTTAAGCTGATGAACTGAGAGAAAGAAAAGATCAAGAATACAACACTTTCTATTGCAAAGCCGTTTGGAATATAAACGGTTCTAAACTTTGTCTCATTCTTTAGAGGAGAATATCTGGGCTCCAGACGAAGGGCATAAAACACTGGCAGCATGGCACCTATCATTGTCACGTATATGCTAACGAGTGCGATAACTGTTCTCTTTACTGTTATCATTGTTTTAACTTTCAGAGGCACAGCAATACAGAGACATCTTTCCAGCATTATGAAGGCTGTAATCCAACCAGAGATACGTGAAAAGCAAATGTGTGGCCACCCTGCCGTGAGGTACACGACCTCCTGGGCATTATACGGCAGATCAACATTTACAAATAAAGGGTTAAAACCAACGGTCGCCCATAGCGTCGGAGTCAGTGCCCCTATATCGGAAATGGCCAGGCTGAACAAAGAAATGTTCATAGTGTCTTTAAAACCCTGTCTGATAAAAACGATTAGGTTGATGACGTTAGCCACAATGCCAAAGAAGCTGATGGCTCCTACAATAATGACGTTGAAAACCACGAGGAGGATTGTAAGTACTAATTCGTTTATCATTTTGATCTGCAGTGGTCCGGGCGGCGTTCCATAACTTTCGTTTCCAGAGGCCATCTCTGTTCACTTTTGGCGTTTCCCCAACGCCTGAACTTGCACAAGCACTAGAGCTGTATAAATAGAGAACCAACGACGTGTTAATGATACGGCCACCAGAGCCTGCCTGTTGAATTTTAAAAATCTAATTGGAGTGTGCGAAATGAACTTAAATTTTAAAATAAATAATAAATAGAAAAATGAGTAAATGAATAGATAAATAGATAAATGAGTAAATGAATAGACAAATAAATAAATAGCATATAATAATAACAACAATATAATAAGAGTAATAATAATAATAATAATAATAATATAATAATAATTTTAAAAAATAATAAATTTTTTTTACAAATAAATAATAATAATAATAATAATAATAATAATAATAATAATAATAATAATAATAATAATAATAAAAACAACAATAATTATAACAAAATTAAAAACAACAACAACTGCATTTAAAAAGCTATTATCCACACTCTCCGCACGCTGTATTAGTTTAGATAAATCATACAGAAATGAATAACGCATAAACGATTTAGCACGTGCAGACAACGTTCATAACAATAATTAAATGGTTTTAACAAAAGAGAACAATTGACTTTTGTTTCCGCATAAATCCATAATGATTTGCTTTCTTCGCTCTGAATAGTTCAAGAGGATGTTATGCACAATGAGACCGGGGGCTTTCGTGGTCTAGAGGTTAAGGTGTCTGCCTCTCTGTCAACAGGTCCCGGGTTCAAGTCCTGACAGCGACTGAACAATTTCTTATCTAAAATGTCCCCCTTTAACTCCCTTTCGTGCTCTCTAGCAATGTTCTGTCGCCTGCTTTCTTCTCAACTTTCTGCCCCCACCCCTTCACCTCCTTTGCCCCCTCCTCTTGGCTCCTGACTCTTTCTGCAGCCTTTCTACTGCTACTCCTTGACTCCTTCTTACTGCTGTCCTTCAGCCACACCCCTGATCCTATGTAGGCTTCGGCCGCCATCCGGGCAAAATTTATAATTTCCTGACAACTGAAATTGTTTAGTGTTTCCCGCGCGCCGTAAAACACTTACAACAGCAACTAAAAAAAACCAATAACAAAAAAAAAACAACAACAAAAAACAACACGTGTGTAACTTTTCTCTCAAAACTTATTGCTCCATTACAGTAGAGTGTAAATGTAGTAGGCCAATGATTTTCAGTTGCACCGATCATTCCTTTCACTGAAAGGGGGCCCAGCTAGTCGAATATAAGCTATCCAGCTTTTGCACAGTGACTTGTATAAATTTGTCTTAACAGGGGAATATTTCATTAAACTCCTGTTAGCTGTATTCAAGAAAATTCCTTAATAATGCTAATAAAAAAACCAAATTGGAGGTTTCGACCATTTTGTAATGGTTCACAACTGGGACAATATCGCTTTGAAAAGCAAGCCCTTCTTTGTTTTTTCTAATCGCGAGATTATCTTTCTTGTACGCCTGTTTTGAAAACCTTTAGAGCAAAATGTTCACTATAAAATTAATTTCTTGTAACAAGTTTTGCCACTAGTGGTTAGGCTCTCGGACTCGCAACCGTAAGGTCGTGGGTTCGAATCCCGTCAGAGACCCGACGTTGTGTCCTTGGGAAAGGCACTTTACACGAATTTTCCTCACTTCACCCAGGTGGGAATGGGTACCCGGCTATAGACAGCGAAAGATCTTGTCAATTTGTTAGTGTTTGAGCGCTTAATCAGCTGCTTGCACTGTATGCTTCCCGGGAAGCTGAGAATGTTTCGGAGTGTTCTATGGTCTGCTGGGGTAATAATACATGTATAGTGTAAAGCGCATAGAGCCTGCAGTTGAGCGGGGATATGCGATATACAAATGCTATCTATCTATCTATCTATTATTATTATTATTATATGAGCGCGCGGGACACATTAAACTTTTTTCAGTTGGTAGAACATTTTGAATTTTGCCCGGGTGGCGGCTACTCTTAGAAGCCTACTCTTATCGATTTTAGACCACCTAGGGATCTTTAACGTGCGCAACTTGCACACGGGCCCTCCGAGATTTTTCACCCTTGTCCGAGAAGGCTAGGTGTAGATCTTTCCTACCTGAAGATCAGGGGTGTGGCTGAAAGACAGCAGTAAGAAGAAGCCAAGGAGTAGCAGTAGAACGGCTGTAGAAAGAATCAGGAGACCAGAGGAGGGGGGCAAAGGAGATGAGGGAGTGGGGGCAGAAAGAGAAGACGAAAGCAGACGACAGAACATTGCTAAAGAGCAGGAAAGGAGGTGAAAGGAGACAAATTTAGAGAAGAAAATGTTTCGTCACTACCCGGATTCGAACCCGAGACCTTTTGAATGAGAGGCCAACACCTTAACCTCTAGGCCACGAGAGGCCCCCCCCCCCCCCCCCCCCCACCCCACACAGGTGTTTCCAAGTTGCCAAATATATAATAGTAATAGATGTATAGATTGATTCTCTATTCCGCTTTCGTGATTGTACACTCCAGAATTTCAAAGGTGTGGAATGAGTGCGCACGGATAGTGAACGGAAACCTCACTTGTTTACAATGGTGTCTTAGAAGACGGACTTTCCCAAAGATTCTATAGAAAGGAAACAAAGCATTTTTGGAAAAATCGGGGAAAGCAGTTTACGTGGATTTTTTAAAAGTTAGGTCCTAGCCACATGGATGCTGTGGACGCCTGCAACGTTTCAAAGGTGTGGGTTAGGTAATAAGGCAGGAGTTTGTGCACAAAGCCTCTCAAGTCCACTTTTATATACATATAGATGTAGATAATTGGGGAGATATTTGACATACAGTTGTGCCGCGAATTTTTGACCGCACTATAGCTTCCAGTACTTTTAAATAGTAATGCGTAAACGTTAGTTAGTAGATCTATCCTTTTGGGATTTTCCCGTTAATAAAACACATCCGCTAGGTGTACCCTAAGTTGAAACATCTGAACATACAATTTTTTTACCCTGCACCGCCCTCACACATAATTTTTTTTAAAAAGCTTGACAATTATAGAACCACGGTTCAAGAAGATTCTGCAACACGGAGAACAAACTATCTTATCACAACCAAAGATAATTGACAGGTTCGTTAAACCCACACTGGATGAATGACCTCTGCAGTAAAAGTTTTCTTTGTCATTTTTCGTTTTTGTCGCGACAAAATACTCATGTTCATATCGTGGTTACATCGACATTGATGGGATAAGAATCATACCTCTAATTATAAAATCGAACGTCTTTTTGAAGCAGTTTCATTAATCACGCGCACAGCCAAAATTAAATAATTATAAACAACCTGTACATCACATCAAATCTCCGGGGTATGCTGTTTTTTGTTTTTTGTTGTTGTTTAAACATTAAAACAAAGACCGTGTTTCGACCCACATATCTCTTTGTGTACAGTGTTACACCTCGGAGATCTGAGGCAAAGATAGTGAATAACAAGATGGGCCACTCAGCCAAAAAAGTGTCCGCAGGAAGTATGCTCTTTGCTTCAGATGGCGCTGCAATCTGTTTTGAAGCTCTCTTTCGTTTTTCCAGAAGAAGAATAGGAATAGCACCTCCTTGCGTGCGCAGATCGACTGCTGTTCATCAGCAGTTCGGGTACGTTCAGTGCGGAGTTTTAGTTTTTAAAAATATTTTAATGACCTCTCGCCTTTCATTCTAAATTCAAATTAAACGAAGAAAACCATCACCCTTTCCTCTGGAAGAGGTTTTTTGTCAGCGTAACCATTTAAAAAAAGCGTTCTTCCGAAATTTATCCCAAAACTTGCTAGTTTCACTTTGATTTTTAAAAACTCAAGTAGGGTAACTCTGTTTGTGAAGAGGGCGCCACCAAATTTTGAGGACACTTTTTTAATTGGCTCAAAGAGAGAAGTGGCCCATCTTGTTATGTACTATCATTGTCTGAGGACAAGAACGAATTGTGTAGCGTCGTGGGGAAATGAGGCGCTCGTAAAACATGATAATGAACCCGACATTTTTGTGACCGCTGGGCAATGTTTATCCATTTTTTTTCTATTTTGTTGAGCTCAACACTTTTTGTGTCCATTTATAAACATTTTTATTTGTGTATTTGTCGGAACAACGTTGATAAAAGGTATAAAAGATGTAAATTTGCAAGTTTCCAAGAACACCCAAACTTTGGAAATCATCAAACTTTGGCGGCAATTTTCTCCCCATGTTTGCCTCTGATAACAGGCGAACCCACCTCCGCCACTTACATGTATCTGTACTTCTATTCGAGAGAAACGGGCCGGGAATTACCCCCCCTTTACACAAAGACAAATGAACAAGCTTTAATTAAATACTAAAAAAATGACGAGTTCTTGATTCCAACGCGAAGCTCCACAATTATTTTAGGTCAGAGTTTTTGTCAGACCTATTTCCAATACGGTAAAATTGTCGACAATTCGTTACCCCTTTTCAACAAAGAAATATCTCGAAGCTGTAGGTTTATATCAAATTATGATTTATTTACAGGATAGAATTTTAATGTTGAGTATAGAGATGGCACAATGTCTATAAGAAAAGTGATAAAAGATAAATAAATATAACGGTACGCCCCCTCGTTATATAGAGCAGTGAATCTTTCTTGTTGAAAAGTTCATAGTTTACGTTTGTTCACTACGAGATGTTTGCTTAGTTTTGGTATCTGTCTTCAAAAATTGCACAGCCCCAGCGTTCGTTATGTTTAATTATAAGTGATCTTTCTTTTTGTACGTCTAATGTCACCAAATGTTTAATCATTAGAGATGACTCAGCCATTTGATCACAAAACTCTTTATCAGTACTCGTGTATTCTTCTTATTACTATGGTAGCCCCAGGGGCATGGTTGTATTCCTACACTGCCTTTCTGAGAGTGAGATAAGAAATGTATATATAATAAGTAGAACATTTTAGTCTTCAGTTGAAAGTTAGATAGTTTTTAAACATCGCCTTGATCAGCTGCTTATGGCAGATGGTATCTTGGGGGGGGGGGGGGGGGGAATGTAAAGAAATGTGAGAGACACGCGATACGAAATTCGGGA